CTTCCAGACCCGCTCACAGAAACCCACAAACCAGGTTAAAAAAAAAAAAAAAACCCACAAATTTTACATTTCTACACGGGTTTGTTGGGACACTGAAAATGCAAAGACACCACCGGCACCTGGCACCCCTCCTCCTGCCAGCAGCCCGGCACCACGTCAGTTTATGGAGAACTGGGGGGAACCCGTCGTAAGAAGCTTTGAAGACCCCCCGGACCCCCCAGAGCTGGGAGCTTAGTGTTTGCGCGATGAGCAGCAGGGACCCACGGGAGACGTCCCCCACGGGTGGCCCAGGTCGGATCCGAGCAGCTCGGCTTCACCTCCGAGGTCCATGAGGACACGGCCACATCCAGATCTGGCAGCAGCAGCTCCGAAATGCCGGCAGGGATGCGTCCGCCCGCTCCCGGCGCTACTCCGTCCTGCTCATGGAGCTCCGGCACAGCTCCTGGAGGTCTGCAGAGGCAGCAGACAAGCTCCATTAGCAACCAATTCATCTAAGAAAAACCAGCTATTTCAATCAATTTACAGAATCCAGTCCCTTCCCGCGGTGTCTGCCCCACCGGAGCGACGTTTCACCGGCATCCCACGGCGTACTCACAGCGCACGACGGTGTCTCTGATCTGCCTGAAGCTGTTCTCCTTCAGCGCCATGTAGATGTAGTAAAGGTTTCGCAGCTCCCTGGGATAATCCTTCCGATCCACGTCCTTCAACACCGGGATGGTGCGCCCGTTGGCCATCGGAGCTTCGGCCAACGCCTGGTGCATCTGGTACTTGCACCAAGGATCCCGGAGGAAGCCGGGAGTAATGAGCATCACCCAGCAGTGACTGTTTTGCACGGCGTCACACAGTTCCGTCATCAACGCGCTTCCCGGCATGGCATCCCGTTGCTGGAGGAAGCAACGGAAGCTTTCGGGTTGACTTTCCAGGTAGGACACCAGCTCCTCCACCAGCTCCAGGTCCACCTCGCTGTGGCAGATGCAGACGTCGTAGCTCTTAGTCCACCGGGCACTGCCCGAAGCGTTGATGTCCAACACCGAAACGGGTGACGGGCGGATGGATCTGGCCAAGCTCGTGCCAGGAGAGGAGTCGGAGCTCTCGGCAGAGGATGAGGAAGGTGAGGATGAAGCAGAACAGATGGTGTTGAGGCTGCTCTCCGATGACCTGGGTTTGGGCTTGTGCAGGAGTCGCCTAAACCAGCCTGCAGAGTCAGAGGCTGAGGTTGGGGGGGGCTCAGCACCCCCAAAACCACCCCAGCCATCACTGACACCCGTGGGCACCCCTGCATTTTGGTGGGGAGGAGATGCTGGTGATGGAGGGGACAGAGACAGAGGGTTTATCCCAGACTCACCGGCCATAGCAGGCAGAACGCTGCTCAGCTGCCAATCGCTGGCGTGAAACCTCTCCTGCCAGCAGAAAAAGAGGGATAAAAAAAGAAATTGGGAGAGGGGGAACTGCTCTGCGGCAGGTCTCAGCCTCAGCAGCGTTTATTCCAGGGACACGCAGCTCCGGGGTGCTCACCTGCAGCACCAAAAATCACCCCTGGCAGAGTTTTCTGCATCCCCCTCCCCAAAATTTGCTGGGAAGGAGCGTTTTGACCTCAAGCAGCCCACCTGCCTGCACTTTTACTGCCTGGTACCAGCTCTCTCCACCAGAGATACACACCTGCAGCAAGCAAGGCCGAGAACCGACGGGCAGGAGACCCCCTCATTCCCAGCAACCAGGGAAGGATCCTGTGGAGGGAAAAAACAGGGATCCGCAGGGACTGACCAGCTGCTGGCAAACCAAAGATGGTTTGTGTGATCCCTGCCCATCCCTCGCCAGCTCACGCCACGTCCAATGCCTCGGCACCGTGCTCCCGGCGCAGTTTGGGATGTAATAGGAAAAAGATTGAGTGTGGCTTGAACGACGAGCGTGGGCAGTGAACAACGAGGGGGGAGAAATTTGGGGGATGCCTACCTGGGATGCAGGAGTCAGGCCCCAGAGCAGGGAAGGGGGATGCATGAGGTTCTAGAAGGAGGATTTTCTGGGATCACCTAGGCGGGAAAGGAGAGGTAGGATACAGCACGTTCACTCTGGAGCCTAATGGGATCCGCAGCAAATGTCAAGGCTGATCCATCCTTACAGCTTCCCCACCTGGGCGCGGTTACCAACCGAGCAGCCGCAGGGTGCGGGGGGACAACGGCAGCACCCACCAGCTTCCCCACAGCGGCAG